TTCTAGGAATCGGACACAACAGACGCAACAACAAAAAATCAGGATACCGGCGATCGAAATCGGGATGTTTGAGATTTGGGGCAAAAAATCGGGATATCCCGATTAAATCGGGATGAGTGGCAGGTCTATATATTACGATGTAGAAGGTAATCATCATCATCACTATCATCATTATCATCATCATCATCACCCTGGTAATTGGATATAGGCCACCAAGAAGGGCTCTCCATCTGTCTCTGTTCTGGGTGACCCTCTCTACCTCCAGCCAGCTGTGCCCCATATGCCTGAGATCTACCGCCAGATCTTGTTCCCAGGTGGGTCTTGGCCTTCCTCTCATCCTCCTCCTTTGGAGATTCTATCTTGAGAAGGTAATCCCAGCAGTGAAAACATTTATATATGCCAATCCACATGTGTCCTATCTGTGAGACGAGAAATCTGGCTACATTTATATATGCCAATCCACATGTGTCCTATCTGTGAGACGAGAAATCTGGCTACGTCTATTTTTTAAAATATAGTAGAGGGTCTTATGGCGCATCAGGCGTAAAAAGGAAAAACAAAAATAAATGAAAAACAAAATCTGTTTACCTTATTGGCTTTCTTCTCCAAAGACTGAATCCTGAAGTCGGAGTCGTGCTGGTATTCCTTTTTCTCTCGTAGAAAGTCTGATTTCATCTGTTGGATACGTTCAGTATGGTGGGCCCTCATCTGCATGACTTGTCGCTCAAGGTCTCGGATCTTGCTCAGCTGGTCTGTTTGTAAATCCTGTGATTCAAAAAAATCTTATGATTGGCAATGTTTGTATGTATGTCCATAAAATACAATACTGCAGTGAATCATCAGCTGGTCTTCAATTTCTATAAATCATGAGAGAAAGCATTTATTTTTTTAAAACTCAAGCTTTTGCAAAGGGTGAAGCTGCAAAAATATTAGGAAGAACAAGAACCAGCCCTCCCCTTTCTTCCGTTTTAAAAAAAAATTTTAAAAATTAGATCTCTTCTCTTCCCCAGTTACGTCCAGAAGAAAGGATTTTTTAAAGTAAAAGTGTTTTTCAGTGGTGCCTAATGTGTCATCCCAGCTGTACAGACAATCTGATTACTTTACTTTGTCTCTTCTTTTTAGTTTTAGTAGAGGTTTTACGGGGCTCGCAACTGCATAAGGTGAGATGAGCGCCAATTTGTCTCTTCAGCATGTCAAGACTTTGTCAAACACTTCACACCACCTTCCATGAAACTCTTATAAAAGGTAGGCCTACTTAACCTTTCGTTTAAGGTTCACACACAACAAACAAGACAAACCTTGTATTCCTGTAAGTCTCCAAGCTCTTGATTCGTCTTTTCAAGCAGGTGTTGCTTTTCTAAAAGCAAATTCTCCAAAGCTGGAAAAAAAATTTTAAAAGACTGAATAAATAATCCGCCTGTAAATACTCGTTTACCTTTTTAAGTCACTGCTAAGAATTTCTGACAAACTCTTTATTATCTGCAATGTATAATCATTATTACCTGAATGGAAATTCTTTTAAAATATATATGAAGTAAGACCCATTTTCATTACTCTAAGCTTGCCAATAAATGGAATTAAGAATAAAAAAGGATCCTTTGCATAGCAAAGAAAAATCATACATAGAACAAAAGACTTTCTGCAAAACAGATATAATAGTTAAATGCTCAAATATATTGCTTCTGATGGTGGAGGGACGAAAAAGAACAAGAAATTCATTAATCCGAGTACCTTTTTTCTTGTCATCAAATTCTTCCTCCATGTTCTGCCGTTGCAACTGTATGTTCCTGATCTCTTGCTTGTTGTGGTCGCTCAGTGTGATGATCGTTGTCTGTCTTTTGCTCGTCTTCTTCTCCATGTAGCTCATGTATTCATGCTGTAAGTCAATATATTTATAGGTGGGTGCTTGGCGGGTGCTCCCGGTGTGGTATGCTCCTTGTTTCCTATCAAACATCTGTTGTCCTTATCTCCCCCCCACCCTTCTTTTTGTGTATGTTACTCTCTTGTAACACATAATCTATTCTTCGGCACTTATATGACCTTATTGTGTTGCAAGTGCTGTAAAACTCTTACTAAAACTTTTTTTTTATATATTTATATTTATAAAATAAATTTTCTGACAAGTCATGCGCCAATACGTTGAATTGTTTAAATTTCAGTAAGCTTTCGTGCATGCAATCAATTCTTTGAAAAAGAAATCGCCTCATCATGAGTACAGTACTTTTTTCAGTGTGAAAAATTATGGAACAATTGTCTTTTATTTTACAAAAATATATATCTTTGGTTGGATAGAAAAACTATTTCATTATAGTAGCAGTTCTAAAAAGGCTTTTATACAAAAGCCCAATAAGCATACTTTCGATTAATTTCTGGCCACATACAACATATATCTAATCTTATCCTACTGCTACTACTACTTAAGTTCTTCAAAACTTCAACAAGCATCATATCATACTTACACTTTCTATCCGAATTTTTTGAGCCTCACTCTGTAACCATTCATTCTCCTTTTTACTGACACTTGGTTAAGGTTCACTGACTGCATCAATGTGACAGCAATGTAATACATATACAGAAAATTGTGGGATTTTATAAATTGCGCAGCAGCAATGAATCTTTTGCAAACTGCAGGAAATGTTAACCATACAAACCCAGTTATCATAGAGCAAAATAATCAAAAGGCTGAGGCGCCTTTGATTCATTACAAAGTACATGTGGGCATTCATTTGTTACTTTTATTTCACCCTGAAAGCAAATCTGCATAACTTTTATGCCCATAATGCCTCTTTCTTTCTGTCTCTACAGTATTTGAGAGCCCACAGATAAACGTACCGGTAATATTGTTTGGTTTGTGGGTACAAACAGATTTAGAGAGAGAGTGAAGAAACACACGCTTCAAAAGGCTCTTTATTTTATTTTTGTCTTCTAGTACACTGTAACCAAAAAGTGGCTACTGAGTAAAAGAAAGGTACTGGCTAAATCCCGATACGTTACCCAACAGTTATAACAGAGGTGTTATGTAATGTACATTATTCCACAGTAGGCTACCCGCCAAAAAGAAATTAGGCCAAGAACATGAAAGACATTTGATAGTAATGTAAGTGTCATAAACAAAATGTATCTAATAAATAAATTGTCCTTTGCACAACTGCATAAATACTACATGTATGTGCACTTGGACAAATAAAATATTGGTTAGTCATTTTCTTTTATAAGCCATGATAACAGTGTGAACTATTCACAACATTTATGGAAAAGATACAGCTCTTCCACATTGTCCTTGGCTTTCACAAGTTGCAGATTGACTTTCTCTAGCCTGCGGACAGAAACAAACAAACATTTATTTACAAATTGTAATATTATTTCAACAACGATGAGGTTGAAAGCAGCTCTGAAACCTGTACATACAGTAAATTCTCAACTCATTATTTTATAAAAGCTTCAAAGTTTGAATACTTCAGTGAGTAAGAATGAATCTCTACAATGCAACAAGTAGCGAGCTGCACTTGGTTACACACTAGAAGATGTAGCACTGCGTAGCATTTCAGCACAGGTCTTAAATGTTTGAAACTATTCATATATGTGAGGCAGCGTGGTGAAATCAGGCGCTCATCAAAATAATTGAAAGTCAAGAAACTGGCATTTGTCTACAGGTTTGGGAATTTTTATCAATTTTTTTGTTTTTTGGCCCAACACCTTTCATGCCCACTGAAGAACATATTTATGTTTGAATTTTACTGGAAAAACATTGATCAAAGGCATAAAAGATGTACATTTTCAATTTCCACAGACTCTCAAGCTAAGGAAATAGCTCAACTTTGGTGGCCATTTTCTCGCTAATTTTACCTCTGAAACCAAGCAACCCCCACCTCCTTCAATCACTCTATATCTTGACTTGTATCCAAGATAAATGGATTTTTTTAAGATCAAAAACAAGGCAAATGGACAGGCTTTCAGATGATACCAATAACTCCATATGCCCCAAAATTGACAAGTGCCTGATGCCACCACATCGTGACACATATGGTCAGGTTCCAAATCAAATGCACCAAAGTCGAAGTGAGACGTACAACACGCGAGTGTCAAGAGAAAGCTAGAAGTAAATTTTGGATGAATAAGGTGATAGATACTTTCACCAGAGGGCATTAAATATTCAGTTGGGACAGAAAGAAACAGCTGTCACAGGCATCAAAGATTTAATGTTTTCAGGATATATAGTATGATAAGGTAAGGTATCAAAAAGTGTAAGCTTAGGACCAAAGAACTGCGGAAAAAAATAAATGCTTCAGAGACTGATCATTTCATGTTATTTATATTTCAAAGAAAATACAAAAAAGGGCAATACTGGCATTAGTTATAGCAACATTAAATCTTACGATTTGAAGTATTTTTTAAATAGATTTTTATATTACAATCGGAAGGACTTCCATAACGAGCGACCACCCCAACAAAGACAATAAAGAAGAGAGCTAACCCGAACCCAGGCTCAACCCTACTAACCCTAACCGTAACCCTAACCTAACCCTTTATCTATTTCGTAGTTAGGCTTAGTAGTCGCTCGTTACGGAGTTCCTCCCTCACAATCACTGTGATTCCTGATGAGGTTCAGAATTTATTCAGAATCCTAAGCAGGAAGATTAAAGGGCCTCAAGGTACCCTTTAAATAAGCCACATCCTTGTGAACAAATTAGTTTTACAAGAAATTCAAGAATACTTGAATGAATAATCCAGTTTGAGTTTGACTGAACATAGATGGTAAGAAAAGTGGGTGGTGGGGTGTGTAAGTGTCAATTTGGGCTTATGGAATGGACTTCGAACAGAAACTGATCTCAATTAATAACAGTTCAGATGCAAAGATTCACATCAAATAGAATTGGTTAACATAACAGTAGGCGATACTAGATCAATCACTGGCTGTTAAACAGGTTGACATCTCCAACATCCCTTGCCTTGCTTGATGATGAGTTGATGAATAATTCAGAATAATTTTCAATCACTACACATTATTGAATCATTGGCATAAGTTATTGTATTGTTGTTTGCCTTTCCCAGCTGGTCCCAACTGTAGATCTAGCAACACCCAACAACTTTCCGTGAGAGAACTATTTCTTTTGGCATGCACCTGATCCTGGAAGGAGTTCCGCAGAAGGCTGGCCAATCAACAACACACAAAAGAGGGATATTTTGAGTGGGGTATACCCTAACCCTAGATCTAGATCTAGTTCTAACCTTAACCCTGGCCCTATAACTCTTGTATTTTTAGTTTGTTCACGTACATGGACCTTGTGACGCATTGTCACGGTAATTAGTGCGGCCCTCTGTGGAACTTCTCGGATCCCCACCCCCTTCTGTACATTCAACTTCGGTACCATATAGACGGCACAAGAAGCTTATGCCTAGTAGTGGCATTATTGGCTATGGCAGTGGTACCACCGGTAGTGGCGGTAGGGCCTACTCCTCTGGTAATTATGATGATGGGAAGGGGGGGCACAGAAATGCTTCCGAAAACAAAAGTATTCGCATTAGGCTTACTCTGCTTTGAGAAGAACTTCTTTGTCTGTAGGTTCTGGTGTTTTAGGTTTCTCTGGCTCTGCGGGTGCATCACCTTTTCCCTTTTTCTTTCCCGCTTTACCCTTCTTTGGAGGCATTGTTCAATTTTCTCATTCACACTTCCTCCAGATAAACAAGATGTGCCGGAAGTGTTTACTATTTCTACGGCAACGATTCAGTAGTCCTCACAATCGTAAATTAATTTGTTGGAATCTTTGAAACTTATTTCAAAAAGCCAATTCCTTGAAATTTAGAAAAACTGCATTCAATTTACACTGCATCCCTACTACTATCAACAAAACTAATGCTGTTTATTTAAAAAATGCGAAAACACATGGCAACAGAAAACGGTTATAAGCAAGGGGGGATTACTCTTGTGGTTTGCAATATGGCAGCCCCCAATCAGAGTGAGAGCGCGGCTAGTACGAGTGAAGCTTCAGAAGTAAATATCGTTAAAAATGAAGACCCTGAACTAGATTTTTGTTCTCCTAATTTTAACCCACAGAGAGCTCTTTACTCGTCAGCAACAGTGGTGCCATTCCCTAGATCTAGTATCAAGACTTTCCCGAACTTAACCAGTTATGAACATGCTGTGCGCAGTCGAAGAGAAAAAAAGGCTGAGGACAAAGTCGAAGACTCGGAATACCCTGAAGTTAAAAGTGAGACGTCTGCCTCTAGATCTAGTTCTAGATCGAGGACCTCAACATTAAAGGATCGTTCCAAAACTTCATCCACTGAGGATTCCCGTCAAGGAAACAGAACAAAACGTGAAACAGATAGATCCAGACTTTCTGCAACTGCAAGAAATGAAACAAGAACCCATGATGAGACGTCTTCGCGTTCTGCTTCAGTATCAACCCGTCATGCTGAGAGACGTTCAGGTCATGAACATCACAGTCACAGGTCTCATTCTCTGTCAGATTACGACAGAAATAGAAATGTTCAAAAGGGTCATTGGAAGGATGATAAACTAAAGGTAATTTGTGTCACTTACTGACTTACACTTACTGACATTACACCTTCTTTGATTCCAAACTAAATAGGCCTACATAATAGACTTAGGCCTACTGACGAATGTCTCTCTTTGAGCATTTCGGGGAAGTAAAGATCAGAAGGGAGGGAATGAGTGCTTGGGCGATTTACTTCCTCTATATCTGCTGCCCAGCAAAGCTATCTAGGCCTATAATACTGCCAAGATCGTCTGCCGTGACGCAAGCAAAGGCCACATGTACCCCCCCCCCCGGGGCGGTGTTACTGACTGGTGTCTGTCATTCCCAAAGGGGGAATTTAAACATCTCAAGTTCTTATGCACAATTGAATTGTAGTTGTAAATGGGCTGATTCATCAATGTTTTGCTCATAACTGTGCTTGCAACAGGGGACTGCTGCTTTTTCTTTCCTAATCCTTTCTATCGTCATTTTCCTCTACTTCTTTTGTATGTTTGTCACTTTCTTGTGATTTGCTATCTGTGGGGTGCCTTGATGGTCGAAGCAGACTTTGTGCTGTTGAAGCTAGAGAGGTGAGCAGAGTATATCTGTTTCCCTGGTAAGGACTTCTTCTGTTGACATCCACCCCTTGGCGCTCATAGATCTATGACCTTTTATGCAGTAACGAGCGCCGTAAAACCTCTACCATACTGCTACTAAAGGCCACAAGCCACAATCAATAAAAAGTACAATTGCAGTGTACAGCTTGAACATGATTCAATTTTTTTTAAGTTCACACAAAACAATGGAAGATAGAACAAATCGCCTATTACAATTTGGTCTTGGGGGAAACTGCTTTGAGTTTGTGAAATTAATAATGATACTCAAATTACTTATAACCTTTAGGCTGTGTGTATGAGATGACTTTGAAATAAACATAACTCCCTATTTTGTCGAGTCTGCTGACAGTCACAGTCCACAAACAGTGGTAAACTGAAAGAAAATATACCAGGGTTTTTATTTTTTTCTACTTGAGCAACCTGTCAAAACGAAAAACCTAATCAAATTTAAAAGATATGGCTGATTTCGGTTTCAGAAGACCCTACATACATATGTGTATGATTACCTTCTTTCTAAACTATTTAGTGCATTCTTTCTTCAGGAAGTAGGGGGGAGCCCCCACCCCTCCTACGTATAATAATATATATATATATATACACCTTTTCAAAATTTTCCTAGTCCCAAATCATACCTTCCTGCTTCCTTGTGCCTGTGAAAAACAAACGTTACTGCCTGAACAATTTATTTAGCGTAGCTCATGGTAATTGAATTTATTGGATTATTAAAGTCTGAAAAGTATAGTTAACTTTAGGACTGAACTGACGCAGTATCTGTCTATTATTATTGGTAGAAAATCTTGTTGGAAATAAGACAGTGAGTTATAAAAAGCTTTATATCGTCCTATGAAATATAATGGATCTCAGATGTATGTGCAGTAATAAAAGCATAATGTGTTTGTTTGTTTGTTTTTGTAAGTGTTTTACGGCGCTCGCAACTGCATTAAAAAAAGGTCATTATATGAGCACGCAGGAAACATTAACATTTTCAGTTGGTAAGAAATTTTGAATTTTGCCCAGGTGGCTGCCGAAGCCTACTCTTATCGATTTTAAACCACCAAGGGATCTTTAACGTGCACAACTTGCACACAGGACCTCCGAGATTTTTTGCCCTTGTCCCAGAAGGCTAGGTGTTGATCTTTCCTACCAGAAGACCAGGGGTGTGGCTGAAAAACTACAGTAAGAAGGAGCCAGGGAGAAACAGTAGAAAGGCTACAGAAAGAATCAGGAGCCCAGAGCACAGGGCAAAGGAGGTTAGGGGATAGGGGCAGAAAGTGGGGATGAAAGCAGACGACAGAACATTTTTAGAGAGCAGGAAAGGAGGATAAAGGAGACAATTTTAGAGAAGAAGATTTTTCTATCGCTACCCGATTCGAACCTGGGACCTTTGAATGAGAGGGGAACACCTTATCCTCCAGGCCATGAGAGCCCCCGCATAATGTGTAATCTGTACACATGAGTAAAATGATGCAAAAGTACAAATGCTTTTCACTGTTTGAACAATCATAATTTGCAGGCCCCTCCTCCAAAACCAAAGGGAAAGACTCATGAAAATGAACCGCCTGCTCGTCTTCCTGAGAAGCCTCAGCCTCAACATTTGTCTGATAAAGGTGAAGGCTCATCCACCCCACAATCTTTGAAGAAGGCAAAAAGGAATGTGTTCACCCGCATGGAAGCAAGTGAGTCTCATGACCGTTATCTCTTAAGCAAGTAATAATCATTGCCCTTGTTATATATACAGCTCACACTTTGAAACTTTCATTTCATATCAGAAGTACACCCCCATCTGCTTCCTGCTATACTAGATGCTATCTCTGCCTTGTGTGACATTTATTTTTTAAATATGTAACTTAAGTACTATGGAAGATTTTTCTTTATTAAGAAAATTGTGGTTCCTTTTTTGTTACCCTGCCATTTCTACTTTCATGGCTATGTATAATTTTGTATCATCTAAAAGGCTTCTATTATGTTGAGTTGCTTACTGAACTCCTTCTCAATTAATAGACAAAGAAGATGGTACGCTTGTTTTTACAAGCACCATCTTCTTTTAAGATCACCTGGTTGTATTCTACGCCCTGAATGTTCCACTTTTTTTTTTTATAAGTGTTTTACGGCACTGGCAACTGCATAAGGTCATATGAGCGTGCGGGACGCACCAAACATTTTCAGTTGGTAGGAAATTTTGAATTTTGTCCGGGTGGCGGCCGAAACCTATTCTTATCGATTTTGTTCCGCTTCCACTTTACCTTTTTGGTTATGTTTATTTTTTTTACTGTAAAAAATATCTGTCACAAGAATAGAGTGGATCATCACTTTCCGTACCTTGTCTTTTTTAAGAGTGCCAAGTCGCACTAATTTCTTTTTTTTTCCACTCAGCACCTTGACATTGGTGACATGAAAGATATTCATATATATAATAAATTATTATACTTTTTTTGTCATTTGTTTTTATATATTTACTATCTTTAAGCGTATTTTTACAAGACAATTGCAATTCTGGAAAAAATGTTGTTTTGGAAAAGGAGTTGCAAACGTGTTCTGCCGACTGGTCTCTTTCTTGTTATAATGAATATTGTTTCTCTTTGAAATAAGAATGCTTTGGCTATACCTTACTTATTCTTCGATAATAAATACTTCTCTTCTTTTTTTTTTCAGTGGTTGGGCCTTTGAGCCTGATAAAACGCTGTGTAGAAGAGCGACTCCAAGTTCGGGTCATGACAAGGCGGGCTGTTGAAGTGGGGAGCATCTGCAAAGGTTACATTGTGGCTTTTGACAAGTACATGAATTTGGTATGTTAAATCATCAAATGCGTAGTTTTCTCTGTTCTGTATTTGTAACAATTTTTTCCTCACTCCTTCCAGGAATTTCTATGTGGATGTCCTTACCTGCCCTTGTTTTTTAATCAGCCTGGAAGTGATAATAAAGTATAAAAAGAAAATCTTGTGGGATTTCTGTTCTAGGAAAGTTCATTTCCGCTTCTGTTGGTTGTGTGTGTTTACGTATTAATAAGGTTGATTACGGGGGGGGGGGGGGTAAGAAATTTGTTATTTTGGCTGCTTAGTGTAAGACTCCCAATGGCCATTTTGAAAAGTGACATATAATGGAGCCTTAGAATGACAAGTCGATATGTGAGGCTGCGTGGTGGAATCAGGCTCTCGTCATAATAATCAAAATGAGGAAACTTGCATTTTTCTGCAGGTTTGTGAATTTTTATCAATTTTTTTTTTTTAGCTCAACACCTTTTATGGCCATTAAAGATCTCTTTTCTGTGTGGATTTTTCTAAAAAACGTTGATTAAAGGCACAAAAGATGTACATTTTCAGTTACTACGGACTCTTAAGCTAAGGAAATAACTAATCTTTTGTGGCCATTTTTTCACTAATTTTACCTCTGAAAACAGGTGACCTCCACGTCCTTCATTCTCAAATATCTCGATTTGTATATAAGATAAACAGATATTTTTTTTCATCCAAATAAAGACAAGTGAACAAGCTTTAGGATGTTACCAATAACTCTACATGCCCAAAAATTGACGAGAGCCTGATTCCACCACGCTGCCTCACATACAGTAATATGCGGATTTTTATATTTTTGACAATGTAGAAATGTTCAATTTTTTATTTAACAAAACAGAATTTATCTCAAATACAATTTGATCTGTTGAATAAATGATAAACAGATGGTTGATCAGGATTCCTGTACTTGAGTCACAGAACCGACTGAGGCAATCTATTTTTTTTTTAAATTTTGCAGCTGAAAAGACATGATTTATATTCCTTTAATTGATTTCATTGCTTGGTATTGTTTACTTCAGGCCATGATCGACGTGGATGAAATTTACAGACGACCCCGCGTTCTTGGAAAAGTGAGATCTGTAAGTACGAGGGATGGGACGTTATCAGTTAATTCACTGATCTATTTTCCTGCTTCGACAAGTCCACTTTATATAAAGCACAATACTCTGATAAATAAAGAAATTCATCATGGGCAGGGATCCCCCCCCCCCTTCTTTAAAAAATATTTTAACTTGTACACTCGACCCCCAAAAAAAAATGTCTGAAAAATAAAGACAAAAGAACACAAACATGGGTCGCCTTCATCTTGTGAGGTGAATGAATTACGTGATCACACTCCAGTACTTTTTCATCTTTTTCTGGTGTGTTCTCAACTTTTGAAAAAAAAGAAGGTGTGTCTTCTTTTTCTTCTCATACTCTTGCTTGAGATCGGGGAGCAACTAAGAAGAGTAAGATGATTTTATCATCTCAGTGCTGTTGATTTGTACGTACATTGCCTTTTTCTGTGGGCTACATCATAAGGAAACAAAAATCATCCGTAGCCTGACAGGCAGCTGAATGCTGTTTTCAGAGATGCTCTTGCTCTCAATGTTTATTCTGAGTAGTGTGGGTTCAGTTTTTGGGTAGGAATTAGTTTTGAATTTTTCCCAGAGATTCTACTCATTTCAATTTTAGAACTGACAAGGGATCTTTAAAATGTGACATTTACAAATGGGACTCCCAGAATTTTTCGTCCTTATTCGAGAAGATGAGGGAGCTTGATCCTACCTACCCTAGGATCAGGGGGGAAGGTAGAGAACATGAGGAAAACCCAATGCTGGTGTGAGTTTCAACTTTAGACCTGTGGGTTGACAAACAAACACCATACCTGTTAAGCTACTGACACGTTTGTTTGAGCTCCAATAACTCTTATACCTTTCCTAAGACTGAATTAAGAGCATTACCATGATTGTGCCAAAAATGTTATTACTTTTACCTTGCGTTATCACGCTTTACTTTTTGTATTTGTTTTTACCTCCAGAGAAGAACCCACAAAATGCGTGCTGCTAAAGACACTCTGCTGAAGGAGAGGGAAGAACAAACGGCCACATGGAGGGAAGAAGAAGAAGCCCGTCTGGCGGAAGTTTCAAAGGCCAGCAGTAGCATGCAGGAACTCTCTCTTGTGCCAGATATAAGCTTGTCGTCTCTGAAAGACATTCTGACCGCAGCGTCAAAGACAGGCGTGGATGGTGGAGCATCCACGTCGAGGGATGCTGACAAGGACAGCTCTGGTACCGGTCCGTCGACATCAAAATCAAAGGTCTCTGGAAAGGGAAAGTCTGATGATCCTGACGATTCTCTGACCTCGGAAAGAGCTGTGACCAAATTTGGTGATGGGTCGGCGTACCCTCCTTCTGTCACTTTCGGCAGGTCTATTTTAGAGACAAATTTGAGCAGAGCTCGGGAACACACCAAAGCTCTAGAGAGTAAGTTCAAGGACATGAAAAGTGTGTATCAGGACTTAAAGGCGCCCTTTTCTCCCTTTGAGAGAGAAGCTTTGATGCTCGGCGTACCCGATGAGAATGTGGAAATACGACACTTGAATCAGCTCTTCATCCGCGGGGAAAATTTGGTGTTTGTGAATATTGTTCAAGAGCCTTGAGAGGTTGCTCAGTACTGCCCAGGCAGGCTGTGTAGTTATAATTTTAAAAAGTTGCTTTAAGAGACATTGTTGGTTTTCCTTCAAGTTTTTCAGCAGTGGTTCAACCGTTTATGAAAACCTGCCGTTATAAGTTCTAATGTTCATGATCATCATCACATTTATGTTTTCTGTGAAATAAGTTGCTTTTTTGCTACCCTCTCTAGTTGTCATGAAGACCCAGAGAGCAATCAGTATTTGTTTCTCTCTCTCAGTTTTTGTCTTCAGGTATTTTAAAAAATGGTCGCTTTTAAGGATAAGTGGGCTAACCCAGATTTAGGGGGTTTCCAGAATTCTTGACCTACGCCAAAGGTGGGCATTGCCCTACCTATAAGAGAAGTTTGGTTATAGAGAACACTCTCCTTGTCTTTTAAAGAAACTGAACAAGAGTCCAAAAACCTTACCTTCGAATTTCTCAAAACAGCATTTTTCGGGATAGCCCCCTTGTCCTTAAAAGTGACCAAATCTTTTCTGTTATTTATGTTACAAATCAATATTGTTTTTATTTTCTTAACTTTAATTTTACTGTTTCAAAAGCTTTAGAGGCAATTACAGGTACATATTCCACACCAAATAGCACACATGATATGCAGGAAGCCAGCAATTCCTCCCCCCATCCTGAATGCCCGTTTGTGCCGTTGACGCTTTAAAAGGACTGACAGCTCCCTACCTTGCTTTTAACAGGTAACAAAATTGAAAGCCAGCACATAAGAATCAGCTGAGACAATTGTTTGCTTTCTTTTGTCTCTGTTAGAAACCTGTGCCATCTCTTTCAGACTTTCTGTCTTCTCTGCAAGAATGTCCTGACTAGGTTTTTTTAATATGGTAGTCCTTTTTATCACTGATTTTGTTTTTTAATGTCCCAAAGGCAGTGCGCTCTACTGTCTACTGCGTGTAAGAAAATGGAAAAAAAATTAGAGGGACTCATATCTATAATATTGTTTAAAATATATGTAGGTACTGAAAGCAAATCAAGAGGCTTGCCCAAGATAGAGAAAGGTGGAAGGTGTTTGTCTGTGGCCTATACCCTGGTGCGGGGTGAGAAAGGCAATGATGATGATGATGACTAAAAGCAGAGGTTACAAGTATCATTTTCGTATGACTGAAACTTTTATTGTACATTGATGGACAATAGACTTCAAATGTAAAGATGTATGAGTAAGCTTGGGTTGTACAGAGGAAGCAAGAGAGAATGAGAATAATAAAATGGAATACTCACTCAAAATTTGTGAAATATTGACATCCTCCAATTGTGAGTCTAGTTGTGGCAAAATCCTCTTGTCGAGCTCATGTCATAACATTTTGAGACTCTGAGTCTGAGTCAACATTTTACATTAATCATGCGAATCCTATTTTTCCATTCGTTTGTTATTGTGATTTTGGTGCTTCATTGAAATTCCTTCTCTACCTAGAGTGTTTTAATTCGTTAACATTTTCCTGTGTTGAGATACAGTCAAACCACAAAGTTCACACACATTTCAAACAGAGAAACTTAGAAACACACAGTTCACACACATATCAAACAGATTTTCAGTTCCCAGCTTCACAGAGAAACACGCAGTTCACACACATATCATCTAACAGACTTTCAGTTTCCAGCTACACAGACAAACACGCAGTTCACACACATTATATCATATCAAACAGAATTTCAGTTCCCAGCTAGTCACACAGAGAAACACGCAGTTCACACACATATCAAACAGATTTTCAGTTCCCAATTTTTTTCTGATACGCACGTTTCTTTTGTATTTAGAACAAGTACACAGTGAAATTCATACATAATGAAAAGATGTCTACTTCTCGCCTGTTTTTTTTAATGTGCGTGCTAGACTGTATCATGTCTTTTTCTAGTTTGCATGCATATTTTGTCAAGTGCAGTTAGAATTTCATTAATTACACCTTGCATAAAATGAACATCAATTTCATTTGCCTGATTTAGTTCTTGTTTCTCCGGGGTTTTCAGTCTTTTGTGACCCACATGTTATGTAATATTTTGTAAAATTATGTACGGTGTACAGTCGTGTTTTTGTTCACATGATGTTGCAAAGGATGTAAAGTTCAGTCGTTTCTTTAGCAATTACGTAAACTGTCTTTCAATGTATTAGGCTAAAGGATAATTGTGTGTACTTTTCTGCTTCAAAAGATTTATGCAAGTTCAGTTGTCAAGTTCGCTCTCTACATTTACCCAAGCTGTGCAGGCTCAGATGAACTTCATAACTTGCTTCAACAAGTGACAACACATTTTGAACCTCTGCGCTTGAATTAATTTTTTTTTCACTTTTGGGGACGGAGGGGGGGAGGGAGGTTTGGTGCTTTTTTATTGTTTTTTTAAATTTCATTCTGTGCGGTTCTGAAGTCATACATGTGTTTACACAGCCGTGGAGAGGTTTTTTAATCCTGTCTGTACGCCTCGGGTCATTTTGTACCCCTACGGCCAAGCAACGCGTACGGATCGGATTAACGAGTAAATTTCCTCTTTGCAAAGTGGTGGCACAGAGTTCCCCACGTCGTGTGGATATGATAGTAAAACAAGACGTACGGATAGGATTCATTGAGTATCTCCATCTGTGTGCTGGAACGTTGTAGTATCTCTCACTGCCGGGGTTGGTCCCGACGGGTAGGGTCAGAACAGCCCACTTCCTGCATGATCTAACATGTGTTGATAAGGGTGTTAAAACATCTACAAATGTACCTCAAAATGATTACGTTCTCTCTCTGTTGTTACGGAATCTGTGTACGTACATGTCTGTGCTTATTTAGCTGCAGGTTTTACAAGGTCAATGAGTCCTTGTCAAAAGCCTTGGTTCTTTAAACTAGCTTCATGTTAATTATTATATATTGTGTTTCTTTTTTCACTTTTCCCCCCATTTTCAGCTAAGATGCCGATTATGAAAGGTAGCCTTTTTTCCTAAGAGATTCTCACTTCAAAGTAGGGACAATAAGACTTTGTCTAAGGCATTGTTAAATCAAAATGGGACCCCCAACTACTTCAACTACTTTACTTACTCTTTCACGCTTTGGTTTACCCAAATTAGAATGGGCTGAGGTTTATAATAAAGGTCAAATCCAGCACGAAGGTTCATTATGTCGAAGTCCTTGACAGCAACAAATAACTCATTCAGTTAAAAGGTTGTTAATCCCTGTACCACAAGTCTGACTCGTGCTCTGGGTGTTTTGAATTTTATGGTCTGAAAAAGTGTAAAACTAAAAGTAGCGAAGGCACTTTATTTGACTAAAATGACTTTGATATAACTTGTTACTTTGTTTGCTCTTTCTCCTAGTGCCAAGCTGTTGATCTGTTGACAGAGGTTTGTGTTGAAAATCTGGCACTGCACTCATTACATTCATTATTTCACTTTCAGTTGTTACTTTTAGAGGTTTATTTGTTTCACCTGTTACTTTCTACGAATGTGTTCATTTCGACTTTTTGGCTTGGCTTTGTTGAATATTTATATATAGTTGGCATTTCTGTTACAAAGAGCAATAAAATAAAACAACACTTAATTTCTACATTTGCTTCTTTTTTAGTACATGTACTTACTACTGTGGAAAAGACTGTTGCCTAAGTGGCTCGTTGGCAGGTCTTTGGTGTGGTTTGCTCCTTCTTTCCTATCAAACATCTGTCTGCCTGATCTCTCCTCCTTTTTTTAGTGTTTGTTTCTCTCTTGCAACACCTCCTCTAATCTTCGGCACTTATATGACCTTATTGTGTTGCAAGTGCCGGAAAACTCTCACTAAAACTTTTTTTAAACATCTGTCGTCCTTATCTCTCCCCCTTCTGTTTTGTGTATGTTACTCTCGTGCAACACAATCTATTCTTCTGCACTTATATGACCTTATTGTGTTGTAAGTGCGTAAAACTTTCGCTTAAACCAAAGAAAAACAACTTATATTACCAATTAGTGTTGCAAGGGCCAAAAGATTCTTACTTACTAGAAATTCGTGGGTGGTTGGAGGGCGCCACTGGTAGGTCCTACTACTTTACTTTCCTCTCTGTTATTTCTGTCTGTCTTACTTTTTCCCTGCACCAAATGGCCATTATTGTGTCGATGTGCTTCTCTTTACTCAAACTAACAAATACTAAAAATTCATGTGCTGCCTGTTGCCTTATTTAGTCATTTTTTGACACTTTCCTCCACAGGTCAGTGTGAGTGTGACTATCAGCTCTGTGTGCAAAACAAAACAAAACGAACACTTGAAACTGAAACAGCAGTGGAATATGTTTCTCTCCTTTGTGTCTTTGGGCCATTCCCAAAGGTCGGACATTAACTTGTTCTTACGCACAGGAGAATTGTAAATGGGCTGATTCAACAATGTCATTGGTTGTCAGGCTCATAACTGTGCCTGAACTGCAACAGGGAACTGCTGCTTTTTCTTTCCTAATCATTACTATCGTCATTTTCCTCTATCTCTTTTGTACATTGTATGTTTGTCACACTCTGGTGACCAGCTATTTCCGGGGTGCCTTGATAGTCGAAGCAAACTTTGTGCTGTTGAGGCTAGAGAAGTGAGCTGATTAAGTCTGATTCCCTCTAAGGACTTCCATCCCTTGGCGCTCATATTATGACCTAATATGAAGTTGTGAGCACCGTAAAACCTCTGCTAAAAAAGATTTTTTTTAAAAACCTGAACACCTGAAACTGAAATTGGAACAGCTGTAGAATGTTTTCTCTCCTTTTGAGAATGATGCGAGATTAAAACTGGACCAACCAGGGCGTGATGACACCGAGCAGAATGTCAAAAGACTTGTCCACTTGGCTGACTTTGCGCTCGTTGAGTGAGTACAGCAGAATCGGATTGTTGAGCGGAAACGGCTTGCCTGCTTCTGAGAATTTGTGTGTGACCCTCCCCGGGGATAACAGCTCTCTCTCTCTCTCTCTCTCTCTCTCTCTCTCTCTCTCTCTCTCTCTCTCTCTCTCTCTCTCTCTCTCTCTCTCTCTCTCTCTATCTCTCTCCACCCCCTCTCTCTCTCTCTCTCTCTCTCTCTCTCTCTCTCTCTCTCTCTCTCTCTCTCTCTCTTTCCGTCTCTGCGCCCCCCCCCCCTTCCCCTCACCCCTAGACCAATTGCCCAACCACGTTAGCTCAACCTAAGCCTCACCGCAGATGTTTAACCAAAGGGAATTAATCACCCCTTGAGTAGGATCAGACGCTCAGATATGAGATTTCTAAAACCGCGCTATTGACAAATTTATCACGTTATTTTTCTGGCGTCCCACGATCAACGAGCTGTTGCCATGATCAATAAGATATAATATATTTAACTTATTAACTCTTTAAAGGTGGAGCGGACACATGATGAAATTTTATAATAATAAATGTCCGATAAACTGGAAGTACCCGGCGGTATAAGCAGACTAAAAACGATGCATATATTTCAAACCATCAGGTGCAATTCAGAAACACACATTTGTATACAATTCAGAAACACACATTTGTATACAATTCAGAAACACACATTTGTACATTTCAGAAACACACATTTGTACATTTCATAGTACACGTAGTCCTGTCCCCGTGGTTTTATGCACCCCGCATAATTTAGCAAGATTTGATCTTTTTTTTGCATAATTTCTGATTATTTTCCTTTATCATTCTTTGTTAAAATTAACAGAATCGCATAATTGCACAATATTTGGGCCCAGGTTGCCAAATTTCAGAATTTATTTAATTTTTTTTTTTTTTGGTGCCTAAAACCGCGGGGATAGTGTAGCGGTCACATGATAAAATTTAATAATAATTACCCTGTCCGATTAACTACAAACAGACTAACTTAGACGACGCATATTTCAAACCATCAGGAACAATTCAGAAACACAAACTTGTATAGTTCATAGTATTCTTGTTGTTAAATTTTCTGCTGTTTTTGAGATCAGTTAAAGAAAACACAATTGAAAAATAAGAGTGAATAACGAGGGTATATAATCTTCTTCTTTTTAAGTACCCCAAAACAGCGCAACTTCGAGAGACGTAAACGTTGACATATGTTGAACGGCCGACGTAAAGCTCGGCCCCAAAGAGTTAATTTCTTTGTACTCTCGGAAATTACACTTGGAGGAGGGGACCTTTCTGTTCCAGTCAAAGAAAGCCACGTTGGCTTTTGGAGGGTGAGGAGTTTAAAGCACATATTTTGGTGGTATGTGAGGTAGCCAATCAAAGAACGCGAAAAGTTCGATCTTCTTATAGTTCACTGGAGGGATACGTTTCAATCGTAAATTCCTATGTGAGTTTTAGAAGAGACTGCGAAGTGGTAAAGAAGTGAGATTCAATGAAGGATTAAAGGTAATAAATTAATAACTAACACTACACTTCATAGCAAGATTTTACATCTTCTATTCCGAGGCATATGCTCAGCTGTTATGTGCTGTGCTTATCCCCATCATCATCATCATCATCATTATCACTATGATCATCTTCATCATCATCATCGTCATCATCATCATCACCATTATCACCATCATCTAACGATGTTATTATGATTATGATTACAATTAGATCTTGATGTTGAAGTTAATGGTGATAGTAGTGGGGACGGTGTTGATGATAATGGTGATGGTGATGATGATGATGATGATGATGATGATGATGATGATGATGATGATGATGATG